ATACAAAGTTATAAATATTTACATAATAGTTTGTTTTTTTTTTTTTAATAAAGATTAAATGGAACAAAGGAAATAAGCTACTGGACAAAAGTTAAGGAACGATGTTAATAATTTGCATAAACTTTTAATTTACATTGTTAAAAAACTCCATGGAGCTTTTCAACAATAAGTAAAAGTTCATTTATCATTAGGACTTTATTTTTAAACAATATGGCAAATTCTACACGCAAAACGCTCTCTTTTGAAGAAAAAAAACTCATTATTTGTTGGAACTTGACTAATGCATGGAATAATAATGCAACACAAAATGTACTTAGAACAAAATGTATTGAAACAAGAAAGTGTACACAATATTTACATATAGTCTTTTGTATATTCCTGGTAAGACCGTTCCTGGAGAATGTGTTGCCTGAGTCGCAGTCGGGCAGAGTCTCTGGTTGAATGTCTTGATTCCTCCCTCTCTTCCCGGTACCAACCATATTTATATGGTCGGTATTCCACTATGCAAATTAGGTGGATCCTACCACAACATTATTGTTAACTATCAAGAAAAAAGTCAGTTTCAGAAATTTCTGATATTGTTCATTGGTCTAAAAGTGTCGTTCATCGTGTAATTAGCTGGTATAAAACCGATAAAACGTTAGATGCAAAACCAAAAACCGGCAGACCTCCAAAAACATCACAAAGAGAAGATCGAAGAATTGTTAGAATATCTACAAAAAACTGCTACATAAATTGCCCGTAAATTTAATGAAGAGACAGATAATAAGATCTCAAGGAAAACGGTTGCTCACAGGTTAAAAATGCAGGATTGCATGACCGTATTCCAGCTTCGAAGCCTCTGATTTAAAAGTGAAACCAAAGCGCACGCCTGGAGTATGCGAGAGAACATGTTGTTTGGACTGACGCACAATGGGATACAGTTCATTTCAGTGACGAGTCCAAGTTTACTATATTTGGTTCTGAGGGCAAAACTTACGTACGCTCTAGAACAGGTGAAAGACTGTCTTCTCAATGTGTCAAGAAAACCGTTAAGTTTTTTGGCGGCAGTGTGAATGTGTGAGGAATGATTTCATCTGCAGGAGTTGGCTCTATCATCCGCGTACATAGCAATATCAATGCTGAGATTTACAAAAGGCTTCTTCAGCAGCATGTAGTACCAAGATTACACCATAATCTTTATGAATCTCCTATTTTCATGCAGGACAATGCACCTTGCCACAAGGCTCAGAAGGTTATGGCTTTATTTGAAGAAGAAGGAATCGCCCTAATGAAGTGGCCAGCCCAGAGCCCCGACCTGAATCCAATAGAAAATGCTTGGAAGATAATTGGAGAAAGGGCTCAGAAAAGAAACCCGAAAAACCAGGATCTCCTATGGGAGTTATTGAAAGACGAATGGGAGGGAATTACTGCTGATTTTTGCAAGAAATTAATTAGATCATGTGGTCGATGATGCAGGGAAGTCATTGAAAATAAGGGGATGTTTGCCAAATATTAAATTTTGTTGATATTTTGTTCACAATCAAGTATTAACAAGATCGTTCCTTAACTTTTGTCCAGTAGCTTATTTCCTTTGTTCCATTTAATCTTTATTAAAAAAAAACAAACTATTATGTCAATTTTTGTAACTTTGTATAATATTTATGCATTACACCCTAATCTTTATTCGGTAAAAATTTCATTGCTAATCATCCATTACTTTTTAAGTAATACACATATTTATGTCTTTGTTGTTTCCGTTTCTTATATTATGGCCGCTTCTGTATATATATATATATATATATATATATATATAGTCAATACTAAATTTAAAAGGGTAAACTTTCTCGACGTAACTGTAGACTTAATGAACAACATATACCTTACAGAAAACCTAATGCTAACTCCTTGTATGTACACCCTAAGTCAAACCACCCTCCATCTATAATTAAGCATATACCCACATCAATAGAGAAGGAATCAGCATGTACTCCGCTTATAAGGAAATATTCCAACAACACAGTAATTTTTATAACACAGCTTGAAAAAATAGAAACAATAGTACTAACTAGAAGAAAAACAGGAAAAGACAAATCATTTCGTATACCCCTCCGTTTAAACAAATGGTTAAGCTAGGATATAAGTTCCTAGCTTTAATTGAAACACACTTTCCTACTAATAGCAGACTTAGCAAGATATTTAATAAAAAACCATTAAAATTAAGTTACAGTTGCACTAAAAATCTAGAAAGAATCATAAAAATAATAATAATAAAATCCTGGAAAAACATGCATGCCAAAACAGTATTAAAAAAAATAATAAAAATCCTAAACTAAAATTAGACAAAAATAATGAAAAATTATGTCATTGTAGAAACCCTGAAGACTGCCCGTTGGAAAATAAATGCCGCATAGAATCTGTGATATGCATAATCTCATCCATTGAGAATCCTTACATTGAACTGATATATATAGGATCCACGAAGAATGAATTTAAAATTAGATGGAGACAACACAAAAGCTCCTTCAATAATATTAGAAATAGAAATCAGACATCTCTATCCAAATATTTTTGGCATTTAAAAGAAATGAATAAAACACCAAAAGTAAAATGGAAAATAATAAATATAACAAGAACTTGTAAAACCTGGGATGACCCATGCCCTTTATGCCTACATGAAAAGCTACACATTATTAATTTTCTAAATAATGAAAATTTATTAAACCATAGACGGTCTTTTGCCGACATCAACAAATTTTCGCATTAAATAATTAGCATACAAAAAAATATTAAAAAAATTAAATTTCATAGTCTAATGAAAGGTTTAAAAGCTTAACCCAATCATAAAATAAAAAAAAACCTTTATGAAGTCGTCAATCCCCCCCCAAAAAAAAATTGTAGTTCAGTGCGACGCGTTTATGTACGAAACATCCCTTTAGGAAAAAAAAAAAAATAAAATAAAGGTTTTTAGACACTTAACGACGTATTATGGTGCCAACAGCTATCTGTCTCTGTGACTGACCAGAAGATGTGTGTACATGAATGCCATCTTTCGCTTGAAATGGACACCCCGGCCATCTTTCTTTCTTTTGACCTCTTTCCGAAGGTGACTGATATGTGGATACAAATTAACTCTTATGCCTCTTATCAAAACAGTCGCTCCAGCCGTTTCCATAGTAATTAATTTTGCGAATGAACATGCTTATAAAGATGCGTAAATTTCAAATTTGGTTATTCCTAAATTTTCGCTTGAGGATGAAACAGGGCTT